TTTTCCCCCACCCACCTGGCAGGTAACCTGTCCTGACTCCGCTGGTACCCGTCAGCTCTCCCACGGACCTGCCCTGTGTCTAGGTGATCAAGTCCACAGGACTGAGCCCGGCAACAGGCCGCCCTCAGCAGCGCACCTCACGGCGCCGCACAAGGCTCGGGAGGGTTTCTTCCCTCACAATTTTCTTTTTAATTTTCACTTGAATTAATGAGTTACCTCATTGCCTACTCCCATTGGGACTCTGAATAAAACTGCATTAAACTCTAAATGACAGGTGGTGATAATGAATACCTGTACCATTCTGTTTCGAGACAAGGTGTGGTGGGTGAGGTCAACCTGGCCGGGCCTGACCGAGTGGCTGCACACCTGGATGTAGTTCTTCCCCATGGTGAGACTGGCCATCAATTCCATGGTGGGATCTTGCTTTAGGGATGTGGGCTGCTTCCAGTACACAACAAGCAGCCTTGAGGAAGGTCTGTAGCTTACGGCACACTTGAACCCTGCACGTAGCCAAGTCCTTGTCCAACAGCCTGCCATGCCCTGCTGATCTTGGAACTTCTGGACTTGAATTAGCGGCCTGCCGTGTGGTTTGGTAACACTGGGACTGTGCCTTTTTACTTGTTGGCCCTGGGACTGTCAACCTCAGCAGCCAGCAGCTGCCTGAGTGAAGAAAAGCCTCCAACTTCAGTGGGAGGAGGAGGCAGAGCTGACACCCAAGGTGAGGGGCTTTCCCCCAGCCCCTAGAGCCTGGCACTTTGAACTCAGACTTAAAGCCTCCAAACTGTGAGTGAATAAACTCCTGCTTGTTCAAGCCATCTCATTTGTGCTATATTCTTGTCAGAGCAGCACAAAGGTAACCAAAACATAGGGACACCTCACGTTTCTGTTTTTCCAAATCTCCGTTTAATTTTTCTCAGTAAAGTTCCATGGTTTTCTTCATCAATAAATCCTGTACATTTCTTACTAAGGTTATTCCTGGATACTTCAAGAGTACGCACTGCCGTGGAGTCGATTCCAACTCACAGCGCCCCTAGAGGACAGAGTGGAACTGCCCCACAGGGTCTCCAACGCTATCAGTCTTCACGGAAGCAAAGCCCAAACCACACCCATGGCCGTAGGGTCAATTCCAACTCACAGCGCCCCTAGAGGACAGAGTGGAACTACATTATAGGGTTTCCAAGGCTGTCAGTCTTTAGGGAAACCAAACCAAATCAAACCAAAAGCATTGCCATCAAGTTGGATCCAACTCATACTGACCATAGCAACCCCTTCTTGGGTTTCTAAGGCAGTATCAATGTGGATGTAGAATTGCCCAATCTTCCTTCCAAGGAGCAGCTGGTGGGTTTGAACCACTAGCCTTCTGGTTAGTAGTTGCACGCCTTAGGCACTATGCCATCAGAGCTCCCGATCTTTAGGGAAGCAAAGTCCAAATGAAACCCACTGCCATGGAGTTGATTCTGACTCACAGCGCCCCTAGAGGACAGAGTGGAACTGCCCACAGGGTCTCCAAGGCTGTCAATCTTCATTGAAGCAGAGGGCCACATCTTTCTCCCGTGGAGCAGGTGGTGGGTTTGAACCACCAACCTTTCAGTTATCAGCCAAGTGCTTACCACCACCAGGCCTCCTTACTATAGGAGTATCTGGGGAAAACATGCTACTGCACGTGTGCGTTTCCTTGGATTTCTTATTGAGAAGCACGATACTCAGGAACCGCATGTTGTCACTGAGGAGACTGTGATGGGCTGTAGTTGCTCTCTGGCGACTCCCCTCAGCTTTGTAAGCCAACAGTCTGACTGTCTGTGCACAGTGAGGGTCTGCCACATGCTGGCCAGTATTCCATTCCTCGTGTCTATTCTGGGTCTCACTGCACAGACCAGAGCTTCCACAGTAATGGCAGTAATGCTCAGTGAGGACGATGGCAACGTGCACCTGGCTGTAATGAGCCTGTCACAGGTCACGGTGTCTCATCATTAAGAGCAAGGATGGCCACAGACTTGAAACAGATGACCTTCATCCCATCACAAAAGGCCTTACGTCCAAAGCTGCTGAGTTTAAAGCTACAGGAGTCCATTTCCTCCTCCCTCTCCGTACACTCACAAAAAGTGTTGATTAATGAGCTCACTAGTTGAGGGCCTGCACCAGGGCGTCCACAGAGAGGCCAAGAAAAGGTCTCCTTGTGGACACACGTCACAGCCCCCGACCACCAACCGGAGACAGGCGGCCTGCCCACTGCTGCCAGGAGAACCCATCACCGGCTTGTTAGGCGTTTCCAGTACTGCCCTGTCACTCTCAACAACCCCACACAGCCCACTGGTGCCGTCTCTTCTGCAGGAGTGTATCGCACAGCAAGATCGTCCTGAGAGGACAAGCTGCTTACAACTAGAAGTCTCTGTAGCCACAGAAACCAGCCCTACACCTGCCTTGGCCCATTTTGAAGGCCAGGGAATTCCTCCCTGCTCTGTGACATGGCAATCCTACTTCCGTAGTGATACTGCCTCAGAAACCCAAGGAGGGGTCGCTATGAGTCGGGGCCGACTCGACAGCAAATAACATCAACAACAACAACTGTGACATGGGCTCCACAGGCTCCAGGAGGCATCAGCTCCCGCAGGGAGGCGTCCCGGCTCCTGACGGGCACGACGGTATCTGCCACATGGCATGGGGCCTTCCAGTGAGAAATTGCTCAACAGGCCAGGTTCTCTCATTCTCAAAACAGACTACCCACCGCAGCCAGCCCTTTAAGAGGATAGCCCCGAAACTATATCACATTCCTTCCATAGAGTGCAGTTTTAAGAAAAATACCTTTAACAGTAGACCTACAGGGGCACACACGGGCTGGCTCTTCGGGTTATGCCAGGTGGCTGCAGTGATAAGCACCCTCCACGTCTGCTGTGGGGCTGGACAGATGACGTGTTGTCTCCCGACACCAGGGTCCCTTGACGCACCCCGGCGAAGGGGAGGGGTCTCGGTTTGCTGGGAGAACAGGTGCTCCTCCTCTCCCCTTCCGGGACATTGCAGCCACGTGCGCGGCAGCGACTGCCTCCATCCGCGCAGACACTGTGCTTAGCAGTCTGCGCTCATGGTCTACTTTCATCCTCTGCAGGAGGTCATGCATGGGAGGCTGTGGAATCCCATCACCGAGACATAGAAGGTGTGGAGAACCAGCCTGCGGCGACCCAGGCCCGGGGGAGGTGGCGGGATCCCCAAGCATCGAGGCTGTGCGGAACCAGCGGCGGCGACCCAGGCCCGGGGGAGGCTGATGCCCTGCTGCCCGGGTGTCTGCCTTCTCCCTCTGCGTCCCGGGCGCTGGGTG